AGAAGAAATAAAAAAAAACTAGAAAAAAACTACAGCACTAGCAAGACACACAAAATGGAAGACCCTACTTCCTTCCTTATACAGACGGAAATTACCAGCCGACATTGTATGGGCTAATTCCGTGCTAGTCCAAAGGACTGGACCAGCGCCTGAATCTTGTATCAGTTGTGCGGCTTGAAGTGAAGCGATAGAATCCTTGGTGTCGATGGCAAACACCTCGAGTGCCTTTGGAGCGCCCCGAGCGTCTATGGACAATGTTGGTTGTTGTTGTTGGTTTGATGATGACATATTTGATTGAATGAAAAAGCGAATGAGAGTATAAGCGGGTAATAGTAAAACATGAAGACACCCGCAGACACCCACAGACACCCACAGACAGCACACAGACACCCACAGACAGCCACAAACAGCCACAGACAGCACACATACAACCACAGATAGCCACAGACAGCTACACAGACATCCAAACACAGACATCCATACACAGACATCCATGGAAGTCTGTGTAGCTGTCAGGGGCAGTCGGTGGTTGTATGTGTGCTGTCTGTGCAGCTGTCTGTGGCTGTTTGTGGCTGTCTGTGGGTGTCTGTGTGCTGTCTGTGGGTGTCTGCGGGTGTCTGTGGGTGTCTTCATGTTTTACTATTACCCGAGTATAAGCGCAGTATAAGACAAATTAATAAATAGTACACCAAACGCGAGATGAATGACTATTTATAGTATGTATCGCTCCTTCGTATTTTTCTACACAATGATTCTTCACAATAATTCTATTTTAAAGAGAAAAAATAAAGATGTAATAGAATATTTCGTCCATTTTAACCTTTCATTCTTTTGTCTCATGAATTCTAAATCTTGTAAACAACAGACGGTCGAAATTACAAAATTAAACATTACAGACCTATAATCAGCTTTTGCATCACATGCACTTATAGAACGGCCTGATGATGTTGAATTAATATGTGTTATGTATATTAAAATTAACCCTAAAAACTAGGAACATGTGGAGGATGTGTTAACAGATAATGTTAAACGTCTTTTTTGTGTTTAAAAACTAGAATAGAATATTTAACCTATAGTGTTAATAAACATTAAATACTAATTAAATCGAAAAAGAAAAACGGTATCTCCAATATTTTTGAAGTGAACGTTTTCTTAATATACGAGCAGAAACATGTCGTAGAAAATCACACTATTAGTATTGTTTAAGAATGAGATAGTTTGAGTCAAAATTAAAGATTTGAAAAAGTTGGTGAATGATACTAATTCTGGTTGTATTAATATTCTAGCCCATTTTTAGATTCATTCCAGAGGTTCCCTTTCAATGTAAAGTGGCTTATTTTGTAGACAATTGATCGCTCTATATAAACTGCGTTAAAGCTGCTCTAGTAGTCTTTTAGAAACTGATTTTGACACCATGCTAAACGGCACAATTGTTCAGAATCATGAGCTTTATCATATATGTAAAAATCGGATAAAAAGAGTGTATTTTCATCGTTTCCTGTAGAGAATACTGTAAAAGAGAGAACAGCATTTCTTTTTGTAAAATTTGGTTGATTTAGTTATAAGCTATTGCACAATCGTTATATTTTACCTCAATTTTCACGATTGTTGCAACAGCTCTCATACCGCTAAAACTTCTCCGTTGTTATTAGTGGCGCAGCCACCGGATGAGCTCAGCGCATCCACTAATTCGTTTTGCTCACCCACTAAAAGCTTTATAATTCACACTACTCTGCGCTAATGTCTACCACTTTGAAAAAATGTGAGGCAACGCCCCCCCCCACTAACAAAATCCTGGTTACGCCACTAGTTGTTATACTCATTTTCGACACATTTTAAGTCATCCCTTCTTTTCATCTAGTTGATACAAAATTCACTCAACAATAGTAGTCAGAGCTTTTCATTTTTTTTCCATAATGTACACGAGTAGTGACAAGTTTCTGTTGAAATATCGGTCCAAGAAAAGCGCAGCAATTGAAACAAAAGAAATTCTATGCTGGTACACTACTAACTGTACTGAGATATAATCCTGACTATGGACTATTAAATAGTTGACGCTAGATGGGTTGTTTTCAAAAAAACGTTTGATGCAACATGAAGAGAGTTGTACAAGATTTATGAAAAGTTGTTCGGGACCTGATTGCCAATTAAAATTCTAATTTAGTTTTTCTTTTAATTTTAATGGACGAAAGTCTGTTCAAAAACCTCAGTATTCATATACTCTACAGGAAACGGTGAAAATAAACTTTTTTTATCCGATTTTTACATATATGATAAAGCTCATGATTCTGAACAATTGTGCCGTTTAGCACGGTGTCAACATCGGTTTCTAAAAGACAGCGGAAGTTGTTTTCTGTCTATCCGGTGCGATTCGCACGGACTGTCCAGAATTATCCCATGCAAAATAGTTGAGTATCCATGATTACCACAAACAATAAAAATAAAAAAAAACGACTGTATTCTTTTATTTTCGCAATTTCGAATTAACTAATCAAGGATATGTCTAAAGGGCCAGCAATTTCAAAGGTAGATAAAGCTCAAAATTCTCTACAAAATAGTATAATTTTTAATTAGAAAGGTAAAACTTTGCCGTTGAAACAAAATTATTTTACTTTATTCCAGCCATGTTTGCTGGACTGTCCGTAATTGCCCCAACGAGACACACTGACCGTCCGTAATTACCCCGAATGGGATAATTATGGACATTTGATAGGAGCCCTCTGGAAATTGATGAGTACTAATTAATCTTATTGAACTTTAACAAGATTTTTACATTAGTAGATAGAGAAATGTCCGGTCTATCCTCCTGTGAAGTATCGTTTTTTCCCGAGTAAAAATATATCAAGTACGCTTAAAATACTGTGAAAATTAGAGAAGCTGTCCAGAATTACCCCAACTTACTCTGTATTAGGATATTATTTGTCACAAATGATATGACAAAAACTAATCAAAAACAATTCTATTATAAATGTCTAATTAAATATATTAATACGGTATTAATATACTTAATTAGACATTTATAATAGAATTGTTTTTGATTAGTTTTTGTAGAAATCGAAGTAAATCGTCTTTAGTATAAAACGTTTTGGAAATTTCAGGATTGTTTGCCAAAAAGTAAGGTAGTTTTCAGTTTTTCCCGTATATTTCAGCTCTTTCAGGTGAAATCTCACCCCTCACCCCATATTGCGCTAATGTGATAGGTGTAGACGGTAATGGATGATCCAAGGGCAAATTGTCATCGGTAGGTGACTTAGTGCATATGCTCATGAAGTGATCATTAAGTAGTTCTGCTTTTCAACGAGTTCTGAATTCTCGTTCTTTAGGCTCGAAATGACAATGTAAGGACACCCGCCTTCTCATCGACGATTTCACCAGCTTCCACCACTCTGTGTTGTTTGCTTGAATGTTGTTAATTCGACTGAAACACAGTAATTTCTCTCTTGCACACTCCCTCTTAAATAAGTTTGTAATTTTCTGATAAATTTACTTTTTAACATTAATTAGAACGCTATTCCGAATTAAGTGTCATATATAGTCTGTTTCTGTTCACGTAGAGGCGTCTGAAACTTTCTGTAAACCACGGTTTCTCACTTTCGCATAGTCTGATTGATTTTAGAAGATATAGCAGTTGTGGCTGCGTTCAGAATACAGTCAGAATGAGAGCAGAGACGCATATCAGCTGTATTTGACACTTGTATACTCGACGAGTACAATTTCCTCATTGAGTACTCACCGAGTACTACAATATTTTAAGTAAGTCGTACTCACGGTATGAGTACATTCACTAGGATTCTGACAAAACTTTTCCGCTGTATCGAATGTTCCATTAGTTTTTGTTTATGCTCCCGGTTTTTACAATAAAGTTTATTGTTATATTCTTTCCTTTCTCTTTCAACTTCATCCTGTTCCTTTTCTCTTTTAACTTACAAATTAACAGCTCTATTGTTAGTTTTTACAATCTTGGACGTGTTGTAACTACTTCGATATTTCTCGCTACAGCTTGCTTCATGTTTTATTTAATTATTACGTTAAAATGTACGCATATGTTTATTTTGTTTCTGTTAAAATAGACTTTTCCTAGGGAACGGACTCTCCAGCATAATTTCTCAGTTAGAAGATTAAAAAGAGATTTAGATTATTTTTAACTTTTAAGTAAATTCACCAAAAATATTTTTCTCCTAGATAAATTAAGAAGTATTATATTTTTCAGTAACTTTACATCGTTGCTACTATTCGGTTTATCTTCAAACGTTTAACTATAGCCGTAAGGCAATTCATAGATCAAATACTTTCTCCTATTATGTTCAGATTTAATGAGCCGCAGAAAAGTTGTAACTTCATAACATACAAGTGAGAAACTACCGTGAGAGTTTTCAAAATTAGGAATTCTGGTTGCTCTTGTGTAGATGGTAGCCTTCTGAAAGATGTGGAAATACAGTATTCTAGCTGGCCATAAATGCACATCGGGCACTACGGACTCATCTCCCACACACCGATGTCAGTACTGTTGTAGATGGAACATTGTTTTTAATGTGTCATCCATTTCAATCTAAATCAAAACGTTTTCTTCTAATTTAGAATGCTTTAAATTGTTTACGTTTCATTTGCAAAGAATTCATGACGTTTTTACGAAATGTGACTGCTTGTGCTGACGGAGAGGTTCTGAGTAATCTTTTCATTCGTTACATTCGTTTGAGCGCATGATGAAGAATTGTCAAAGCAGAAAGAAAGAAAGAAACAAACACAATAAATAAAATATCAGTATTATTATTACTATATCCTTTATTATTAATGTAAAAATAAAAAATAAACCCGAAAAAATGTGACCTAAACGAAACATATATTCCTACTATTCTATAAATATATTTTTACTGCTTGTTGTTTTTTTATTAATCAAGCTGTCCTGTGATTTCAATAAACACAAATAATAGATGTCATTATTACCAATTGAACTTATCTATAGAATGTTCTTTATGCAGAATTTTGATGATTATTAATCAATGGCTGGAGATCCTCATCAAGCTTATCAACTAATCATGAGCTCTAGCTTAAATAATACAACGGGTAACAACGAAAAACCAACACATTTGAAGTAAGTAGTTGCTCGTTTCGTGATAAATTAGAATTAGGATTTGTCTTTTATATTTTAGCTATCTTTCTTCTTTTCGTGTGGATCAATGTCAGTTATTTTTACAGCACAAATGTACACAACATCGTCCATTTACATGCTTTCATTGGCACTTTATGAATCAACGTCGACGACGACCGTTAAGACGCAAAGATGGTACATTTTGTTATGATCCAGACTTTTATTGTGATAAATATGACGAACAAAGTGGGGTTTGTTCTAGTGGAGAAGAGTATGTGCAGAACCCTAAGTCCTTGCAAATTCCTTGTATGATTATTGCTTTATTTTAGTTGTCAGTTTCTTCATCGTAATGCGGGTGATACTGAAAAACGCTATCATCTCCGATATCTTAAAACGGCTATCTGCACACATGAAACTGATGCCAAAGGCCATTGTGTAAAAAATGGACCACATTGCTCGTATGCACATGGTTTATCTGACTCAAGACAACCGGTATTTGATATTAGAGAAATACAAAATAGTGAATTAGCATTGGAAAGATTATCAAGATTATCAGTTAGCTTAGAAAATGAACGAGCTCTCAATGATGATCCAAAATGGAATGGTAACAAAAAAGATATTTATTTAAAACAAAACATTTAAATAATTTGTTTTTCTGTTCAAGATTCTCAATATGTACTGGCTAATTATAAAACGGAATCTTGTAAAAGACCACCGCGACTATGTCGACAAGGTTATGCTTGCCCACAATATCATAATCCAAGAGATAGACGAAGAAATCCATCTATTTTTAAATATAAGTAAGAGAAATACAGTCTTGACTCCTTAGATTGATTTTAATACTAGAACGCCCGTAGCGGTCATTTTGACCGTTTTGTGATTTTTATCCTTAATGAAACAAACTGCATACAATTTATTTAAAAATAAATTATGTCATAACTTTTAATTTGTCCCACAAAAATTATTTTTTGCAGAATTTTTAATTCATTTTTGAATTCAGAACTATTTTTAAGTATAAAATTTTTTAAAAAACAGTAACGGTCAAAATGACCGCTTTGGGCGTTCTAGGTCATGAAAATTTCCGGGCGTTCTAGTGTTAATGTTTCCCTATATGTCTGTTCATTTAAGATCAACTCCTTGTCCCCACGTGAAGCAAAGTGATGAATGGATGGACTCTACTGCTTGTGAATCGGGTGATAATTGTAAATATTGCCATACAAGAACAGAACAACAATTTCATCCTGAAGTATGCATCTTCTTTCCCACTCACGAGGGAAAATCCTCTAGTGTCACTTCAATTTTCAGTCAAAACCTATGACTATGGGATGAAAACATATCAGATAAAAAGCTGTGCATAACCGAGTAGATTTTGAAGATATCATCAAAATGAAAATTGAGGAGCTTCTCTTTTGAGAAGAGACATGTCTGAATCACACTATGTTTTTTTTTAAGATTTATAAATCAACCAAGTGTAATGATGTTTCTGTAACCGGTTATTGCCCTCGCGGACCATTTTGTGCATTTGCTCATATAGAACGTATGTCGAAATGATCAACTACCTTTGTTAAATTTGACTATGGTTTTGTTTTTGAAGAGGAGCTGAAAGCTTATCGTGACTTCGATCATTTTACCAATGAATTGCCATTGTCGTCTTTCATACCCATACCAGAAGAAAAAGAAGTTAGCATTACAATGGTATGTAGTTTGCAGATATGGACCACCCGTTTGGATTTCAATGAACTGTATATGTTGATTTTATTAAGAATGCTTCAACAAGACCACAAAAGAAACTGTCGCAAGCATCATTATTCGAAGTTGGATCTTATCCAAGCACAAATGCAAAAACATTTGATCAAATGGCATCTAGAAACGTACTCTTAATACTAGGTTTTACTATCAAACTGGAGGGAAAACTATTACCCTTGTCTTTTTAGTTGTTATTTACAAATGATAGTTCTTTCGGTGGAAGTGGTACATTTGCTCAAGAACAAGAACAACAACACATGACTATCGAGAATACAAATCGTTCACCGCCCACTCCGTTGTTTTCTGAATTTCGTTCGATTTCTTCCCCGATGTCTATTCATCCAGATCATGCATTACCGCCGCCACCATCCTTGAGCAACGAAACGTCAACAAATTTACAATTCAGTAATACAAGTCTTGCAGCAGCTGTAGCCGCATTACAAGCAGCTACTACTAGTCATTATAGTCAGTCGTATCCACCCTTATCTTTACTTTCATTTCCACAAACAACCCATCAGCAACAACAAAATTCAGCAGCAACCAATTTTATAACGTCAATACACGCTCATCTTTCTTCGGTGGAAACGCCTTCATCACTCTCGCCCTTCATTAGTAGCGGTCGTAGTCTTCCGAATACTTCTTATTTTGACGATGAGGGCGATGATTTAGATCATACTGATACTTCACCACTACGTTTTGTCAATTATCAAAGTGATGCACCAACAACAGTTGATGTTAAAAATTTAATTGGCTTATCATTAAAAACAATTGGTATTGAAAATATTGATGTTGATGAAGTTGATTTTGATAAAGCATCAAACAACAATGATGTATTGCTAGAAGGCATGGATAACTTTGATACACATGTCCATTCGTCGACAGCAGCCACTTCACCAATTCCAACTATCTCTTCCACAACAAAGACATCTTTGATCAGTAATCGAACTACATTACCTGTAAACATACCAAATTCATTTCAAGCATCCTATGCAGATTTTTCACAATCACCATCAAGATCACCATTTGATTTACTCTCATCAACAAAACAGCAACAACACCAAGATGAAACATTAGACTCCGTAAGGAATAAATTATTTGTTGTTTAAAACTGGCATATGTGTTTTCCAGAGAATATCTTACAAAACTTTTCTCGCGCAATGTTTCAGTGTTGTTCCTTCCGTTGTACTCATAACTTAATTTTATTCCATTTTAGCCAATCAATAGCATTTTTCCTGAACCTTCTACTACAGGGAGTGGAGGCCATCCAGGAAGTTATGCAATGTCGGGTTTTAGTCATGATATTCCTTCAATAGTTCATCAATCAAAACAAGGATCAGCTTCACCACAATCGAACTACAGTCGTCTGAATAGTAGCAACGGTGCCATTTCATCCGCCTCATCATCTTCCATACCTAATGAGATCGATATCATGCGTAATCGTGTGCTGCAAATGCAAGTTATGGCAATCACGCAGAAAGAAGTACGTTAACCACAGTGAATAAGAATGAAAAGCATATCAGCTTGTTTCTTGTTTTTCACCAGGCTTCCGATCATTGGAGAAGAGAGGCAGAAGATAATCATCGAATGGCTATGCAGTTAGAACAAGAAAAAAATCGTGCAATTCAACAACGTGATGATGTGAGAGAGATTGTTTTTGGACTAAGACAGTTGTGTTGTCATTTCTGTTCATTTGTAGGCATTACATCAAATTGATACTATGCGTCATTTACTAACGCAAAATATGCGTTTGTTACCGAGTGATAATGATTTAATGTCTTTACCATTGGATGACGTAAGATTATTACAGTCACGGTTGAAACAAGAATTGATGAAAATAGCATTAGTAAGTATAGAACATATATTCCAATTCATACATTTCATGGTCATTTTCATTCAATATATTCTATTTACTATATATAGGTTGAACGTGCAAAATCGAATAATATCCACGAAAGTGCTAATATGCACTCGCCAACCCCTCAGACACATGCAGTTTCGTCAAATCAAGGAAATAACAATGGTAAAAATCCAGTATTATTACACTCAGCAAAGCAGTAAAAGAAAATTGACAGAGTAGCGAATGTTATAAATTCTATCTTATATATCTATATTGTGTAGAGAAATAAAAATAGCAGTTAGTTTTCTTATATTCTTCTAAATTATTTTTTTCGTTTTTTTCAAAAACATTTTATGTATTTGCTTTTGATAATTTGTTTTTCTTCATTGTTGAATTAGGCTAATCTTGTTTTGTTTCCCTCGACATTAAAGCTTTAACTGCGTAGAAAAAAAGAAAGAACAGTGAAAAACTGTTGTTAAGTGTGATTAATATACACATGTGTGTGCGTGTGGTTTGCTTTTTTGTATATATCTTATGTATAATCTATTCTCGTGCGATATTGTTTCTAGGAAAGGAGCACACTGAAAGACAGAATTGTGGGTTTTTTGTTTGTTTTTTACATTGTGTGTGTGCGTGTGTGTCTGTGTGTGTGTGTGTGTGTAATATCAATGAAGAGTGTAGGCTAGTGTGTACATACAGACGACTTTTATTGCTTTTTAATACGCTTTCTGGAAGTATACGTAGATCAAAACAAAATCTAAAATTTTTTATTTAACTTGTTTTTTATTCTTTCCTCTGTTCATCTGAGAAAGCGCTCGGTTTGTTCCATGTCTACAACAAGTTGATCCACGTAAGTTTCTTTGTTTTAATGGTTATTTCTGGATTTCTTTTTTCCTAGCCTGTTGTTTCTTTAAATTCTATCACAAACGTTCTCCAGTCTTGTTTTATCGAAATATGGGATATTTGTCAAAATAAGTACGTTTTTCTTTTTTGAGAAAATATCGATGAGGAGATAATCTTTTTTTATATTGAATCGTTTGTTGAAACCAATTTTTCGACTTTTATCGTACTTAGGTTAGCTTAAAGATATTCTGAAATCACTCATTACTTGCCGGAAAGAATTTTTTGACGAAAAAAATGTGAAACAAAAACCTTGTAAATTTTGATTGGTGATCTGTGTACGTGTTTTAAAACACTCATTTATTCCATTCTTAGTGTAGCGTTAGCTGTTGAGATTGATAATTACAAAATATCTGCTGTTAAATAATTACCAGACAGAATTAAAATAAGAGAATTGAGAACTGTCTTTTTTATTTGTTTATTTCACTTGTAATTCTATTGTATGTTTGTCCGTATGTTAAATACATTCATCACTTAGGAAATTCTATTTCTACATTTCATTCATACTGCACGTTTTGGTTTTCTTTACGGTTATTTTTTTCTTCCTCTTAGACTATATATGACAAGGAGGTGTTCGTAGTAAAGACGTTTTTTATATGAAATATCTTTTTATTTATCGACCTTTGTTCTTTTGTATCGTTAAATTATTATTATATATATATATATATGCCATAATAAAAAATAAAGTAGAAAATATAAAGTTGGACTAATCTCCAAGACTCGCTCAGTTATATAAGAATATATCATAAAATGAAACTTCATTACTAAGTTTGGCTTGAGTGTTTAGTATGAAGACAGAACACCCGTTTGTACGACTTTCTAGTACAATTGAATAACGTGACCCGTTCGAGCAAGCCAGATTTTCTCCATTTGAACAAGATTTCTGTATATTTTTCTTCAAATACATTGGTGCATAAAGTAAAACTATACCGCAGATAGAGACTTAGTGTGTCTGAATCAGTATTAAAAACTACATCGAATTCCTCTTGCATTGATTTATACAGTTAGAAAATCAACAAACTATTACAATCGTATGATCACCTTGCCTAATCGGACAAACTTGCTCATTTGACCTGTATTTCATGAATAGAAAAGATATCTATTCTGAACAGATCATATTAGCAAATCGAGAGCGATAAAATGCACTTATTCAGCTGAGTTTTTCCTCTCTGGCATAAAAACCTTGTCAGAGCAGCTCCGTAAGGGACTAAAATGGTGAAACTCCTCAAAAGTTGTTAAATAGTGTAAGGCGATGTGACACACCAGTTTAGGACGATGTGGCCACCAAGAGGGATGAAGGAGGTTAAAAAGATGGCCAAAATCAAGGGTTGTCGGGTATAAACTTCAACTTCTCTTTCTTTCGGAGATATAGGAAGAGTTTCACAAAAGGGACGTAGGGATCTCATAATGTCAATACACAGTAAATATAAAGTACACTAGAAGATGAATGAACATTTTTCAAGACCTATGATTCTGAGTATCATTCCGATCGAGTAATTGGACAACATTTTTCCATTCATAGGACAAGCCCAGACGGACTCACGAGCCTGTTACAAGAATTAAATTATTTTTGGGTTTCAAATGTTTGCCGCCAAGTTTCTTTTGTCAATTTATAGGTTTTAAGTAATGCTGTTTACAATGGAATAGTCAAAATCTGGATTCCTTAAGTTCCCCATAAAGTGAACTTATACCTTTTTTTCAAATTTTTTTTCCACAATTCAGATGCACTACTAATGTAGTTTAACTTCTTGAGCGTTTTTCAGATCGCTTTACAAAACAAGACTTTCATAAGATTTTTTTTTCATAAGAATCATAACACGTCAGCACACATTAGAAAAATATATGAGTGCTAATGCATTGAAATTAGAATTTGCGTACAAAATACATCTTAATTGATTATCGCCTCTTAATGTATGAGCATGCATTGCAGATTAACGCATTCTAACGTATTATAAATACTGCATAAGTGATAATATGTTAGAAAACCCACTTTTAATAGATGTTCATGCATTATTCACTAAAAAACGAGATTTAATTTTTTTTAATGTACATTAAAGCCTCAAAATTGCTCAGTGGGAAGGCGTTTGTAATTACATTGCACTCCTTCAAACGCATTAAAAACCTTCATTTTAACGCCTTCAGATTTTCTAATACGAACTAATATCCGCAGGCTGCGAAAACCTTCTTTTGACACATTCTAAGCCTTCATTTTGTTAAAATTTATACAATTTTTTTATAGCGGTTAAAAAATGCTGAATGATAACCAATACCAAAGGTTTCTCAAATTGCGCTTTATAGTTTGATTACCCCACCCACCCATGGGCTACTTTTGGTGTCTGTTAGGCACCTAAACTTGTATTTGAAAAAGTAAAAAATACAGTCAAATGTTAGTTTTGACCATATTTTGAACTAAAAGCCAACTGCGTTTACAAAGATGGAGAATCTGTGATCTAGAGGACAACAGAATTGGATAGATTCATTATTGCGTTAGAAACAGAGCAATCGCTTTGTTATGACATTCACGTCTCTTTTCAGCTTCATTCAGTTTGTCGTTAACGTCACTCATCTTGTCATAGGTAGTTGCCTGTTCTAAGCGAAATAACATTGAAAATGTTTTAAAATAAGCAATTGCGTCTCTTTTCAGCTTCATTCAGTTTGTCGTTAACGTCACTCATCTTGTCATAGGTAGTTGCCTGTTCTAAGCGAAATAACATTGAAAATGTTTTAAAATAAGCAATTGCGTCCTGATAATACACGAGTGCTTCATTCCACTTGCCTTTTTTACAATAAACATCGCCAATATGAGTTTCAATTATTGCTTTCGTTTCGACTTTATTTCTTGATATTTGCAATTTAATAAATTTTTACGTTGATCTGTTCCAAACTCAGAATAGTTTCCCTTTAGGGGGCTAAAGCTTTTATATGGTGCTTTATAGGATTTATCATAGTCACACTTTTTTAGTCTCTGTCTTATTTTCATGCGTAAAGTCATTTGATCTTGCTTAGATACGTACGCTGAATATTCTTCCGCCCAATAATAGCATTGCAACATCATAGAATACTTTTTTTCTAACGCATAATTATCACCCATAATCATATACAAATCGGGTATACTACAAACAATAAGTTCTAATATTTTTTGTGAGTCATAAAGTTTGTTACATTTGTTGAAATCGCATCTCCGAGTTATTGACTATAGATTAGAGTAAATCTTTAATATGTCGCTTCGAAATAAAACTGGATACTGACAATATTTTATCAACGCTTTGATGGAATTACCAATGGCTTCGTTAAAATTTTCGATTTTTATAAAACCATTAACAGGTGACAAATAACATTCTGAGGCACTTTTAACAAATAATTGTTCATTGTATACTTGTTTGCTTAAATAATCAGTCTCATCTTCGTTAACTTCGACATCGATCTCCTCATTACACTTTTTCAAGCAGCACATTAGCTGAGATAGACTACAGTCATAATTATTATTCAGATAATGCATTCGTCCTATTGATGTTAAACAGTCGATAGTGAAAAAGAAGCGATTGGATGACTTAGCTGAGCATAAAGCTACATGATACAAGATTAGGGCACGTTTCCAATCCCTTTTTTCGTCGTAGATGTCAGCCATTTTTTTTCAATATGAAGGATTGATTGGCTTCTGTAGACAAATACTTCTGATGAACAGAGTAACACTGTAATACTCCATCATATTCGAACTTTTCCAAATAACAGCCAGCCAGGATGAACAAGAATTTGGATAAGCATTTTTTCAACCTTGTCTCATTCATTTGTGATAGATATGGCATATATGATTCCAAGGCTTCCCTAATGTAATCGAATTTGTTGTCCATAGTCCATGGCTCTAACACGGTTACCCGGCTATTTACAATATTCAGTTTACACAAGAAAACTGCTAACTCATCAACTGGTTCTAGTTGTCGGAATAAGTCGAGTGCTTCTTGAAAATATTCGACGTCAGTACTTTCAACAGATGCAAGGTTTAAATACGTTTCAGCTAATAGCACACATGGAATAGGAGATTCTTTATTTAAATCAAGGCACTTTTCTAAAGCATTCTAAAGCTTCATCATAATGCTTATAACCGCTTTTAATGCAGCCGAGTAAACTATGACAGAGCACTTGGTTCATGTGTTCATTGGACCATGACAAGGCTATCTCAAATATGTTAATGGCTAACTCATATTCGAACAATTTATAATGAATAAGATCGACTGCAAGCAGTGGCCGATTATCAAGTGATTTTTCAAACGACTCCAGAAAGTGTCGCAACGAACATTGAAAATATTTCTTGTCGACTAGAGGAACAATCGGGATTACACTTGAAGGATGTACGGATTACCAGTTCTATATTTTTAAAAATTTCTATCAAACGACATCAATTTTTTTCCTGCTCCAAAATAGAAAATGAAAGACTTGAAAAGCTTCTCACTGTATGTCGTTAAAGAATACGGCGCGATTTCCTCATTTCTATCTAGAAATTTAGATTTACGCTCAGTTCGTTTTAAGTATGCTTGTAAATTATTACGATAAATACGTTCGCCGTCGACATCATGTTTCAGAATGTAACTATCATAATAGGTGTGTATTCACGGCGGACATTTTCGACTGCGTGGTCAGTTGCATTAGACAAATCAACTGTTGCATCCCCTTTTCTGTCAATAATGGTCTGTATGTTATCTGATGTGTACATACTATAATAACCAAACGTTATATTGTTGCGAGCTATTTTGTCACCTTTATTTATCGTACGCATCTTCACATGTCTAAATCCATACATTTCGTCACATGAATTGTGAAGAATCTCAAACGTTGCACCAGTGTCAAATAAATACTCTTCCTCACCTTCTTGTTTATGAAACTTTCGGATGTCAGCTAGGATCATAGGCGGAGCAACCAATAGATCATGCTCAATTTCAAACAGAACAGAAATCAAAGTACTAGTATTATTAATCTCTGATGGTACACCGACTCTTCCGCGAACTTTTACCGCGAATCCACCCTTCCGCGAATGAAATTCTTTTCACACTCATTCTCATGTTGCTTACTGCCATCACATTTCAGTTCGTGGAACAGTCGTTTCACTGAAAAGTCGATTCGCGGAGGAGTCGGTTCGTGGAAGAGTCGTGTCACGATCTCTGGTATTCCAGCGAAAATCTCTGCTATATTCTTATCAGAAGATGTTGAAAAATAACCATTAACTGATATAATTCTTGCATCATTGAGAGTATCAGGCTCCTCAGCGGACAATTTTTGACCACGATAGAGTGTGATTCTGTGAGGTTTCATCTTATCTAACTCAGCACGGAGAGATTGAGATGGATCACCAATGTAATATCGAAAAATATAATTCGATATTTCTGTTGTAATCTAATTTTTTCAAATACACAAAAATGAAAAAATCCATGTGAAAGTGAATATTTACAAAAAAGAAAATGAAAACTGATGATGCCAATAACAATTTTAGTTGATAGTGAATTGTACGTCAATGAAAGTGTCCCGTATTTATTCTCGCTCTAAACTGGAGGAGATTTAGATTGTCTAGACTTGGATATTTTTGTTTAATCTTCTATATTTTTAAATGAAGCTGTTTATAAAATAGTTGGCAAAAAATTATTCTGAATGTGGAAAAAGCTTATCCCCGTCTTGATCTCTTTAGAATGGTGAGCAACATCTACTTTTTATATGTAAATATTCTCGAGCTTTCAAGTACAAAATGGAATAAACAACGTCTGAGAATCAGAAAACAAAAGTATTCTATTTTCTCTGTGTCAATACGGTATGCGCAATTTACATAAATAAAATGGGTACTGCAAAACGACTATGCAACGAAAAGTAATTTTTTAATAAAAATATGTGATGACAATATGTGTGACATAAGTTATTCAATACCTCTGAAAACAAACAAATGGTATAGCTCCAAGTTGTATCACGCGTCGCACCATTGATGAAATAATCACATACATTTGGACAAATATATATATGCTCAGACATTGTTTGTATCAAAATAACATTCAGAACACCCTATTTAATATCAACTGTGATATAGAGATAGGATTAGGTCATATTTCGTCCACTTTGAGATTGCACAGTGAAATTTGAATTGAACGATTCATCATTTTTATTCTAAAAATAAATTTTGAATAAAATATTCATTTCAAATTAAAAGGCAAATGGTTAATTTTCAAATAACTCGAGACAGAGAAGAGATATAGACGTTTGATTTTTGCTATTCAATAGCCAAGATTTTAATGCATCTTTTCATAGCCAAAAAGAATTTGAAAAAATTTCTCAAAAACCAGTTTTCTAGAGGATCTCTGGAAAACTGTCTCATAACTGAAAAAGTTAAAGTAGCAACATATTGTTTGTTTTCATGAGTAAATAGCCCAAAGTTTCCTTTTTAAAATGAGAGTCAAGAATTGAATAGGATATAGAATAGTATAAATACCGTATAGTCTGAAGTTTTCAACTCTTTCTGATGCTTTTTAAGTGAATTATGAATTTTTTATCCTTGTATAGAAACAGCCTCAAAATCCCAGTTTTCATAAAATACGATTGTTACTTCGAAATTAAAAGTTGTCACAGGTCGATTACGTACGTTTCCTGCGTTTTCAAGGTTATTCCAAGTCAGCCAGTCAGTGCTGGTGCTCCTAGGAAATTTCATGCTACATTCGAATCACTGAAAATCATGGTCTCTCTTGGCTCCCATTTTGAAGAGGTTACTTTGGGCTATTTACTCATGATAATATATTGCTACTTTAACTTTTCGAGTTGTGAGACGGTTTTCCAGATCTCCCCTAGAAAACTGGTTTTTGAGCAATTTTTTAAAATTCTTTTTGGCTATGATACATTATAGTCTTATTATAGTCAAGGATACATTATAGTCTTGACTACTGAACAGCGAAAACCAAAAGTCTTTATCTCTTCTCTGTGCCGAGCTATTTAAAAATTTGTCAGCAAAAAGCTATTCAACTTAACTTACGTCTGACGAATATCGATTAAAATCATTCGAATATACTCTCGTATTCGACGGTGATGTTATTGTTGCTGTTGGCGTTGATCGTGATTGTTGTCGTAAACGAATATTATCATCTCTCAAATCAGTAATACGCTCGTGTAAATGTCGGATAAGCGTATTTTGATCATGGTCAACAGCTTCAAATGTTACCTGTATGGAGAAAAAAACATGTAAAGGGATGGACACAATAGAGGACCCCCCTACGATTGAAGACCCCTCTTGAACTCATAACGCAAAAACCATGTTAGAAGACCCCCTTCTTTTATCGATTTTTTGACCTAAAATATGTTGATTTTGAGGTTCAATCAAACACTAATCTTTGCGTTCGTCTTTTCCCTCAGCTGTTCCCAGGTCGAATTCACCCGATCAG